CCTTGCTAATGTCTACCCTTCGTTCTTACACCAATACCTGGTTCATAAATACCACCAATATCTAATTACCTGGTTCTGTCTTTCACTTTCGTTGAATTGTATGTATGTTTATTTTTTAAGTTCTACTGTACGAGTCATACCCGTATTAGCACTCTTATTTCATCCTTCATTGCAAAAACTGTTGACAGGAGATTTACTTTACAAAAAGCTATTATAGGATAATATAGACGGGTGCAGTTTGGAGATGGGAGCTTGGGTGATGAGAAGTTTAAATTAATTTGAACCTGTTAGCAACAATAAACCATTGATTACTAAAAACCATTCTGAGTAAAGTTCAGTTGATAATGATGCTTAGTCACCAATATATATAAAAATATATATCATATTATGGTCAAATAATTAAATAGGAATTATTTTTAATAATATTTGTTTAATACTCTACTGATTTTCCCGTTTTTCCTACGTTTTTCTCGTGTTTCCTATGTTTTTTCCCAGTTTTTCACATTTGCTGGGAAAATCAAAATATAACTTCTCTTAAGTACCAAGTTCTGAAGTTCTTTTCTGTAGAGTGTTATAGAAGATTCGTTTTTCTATATCAATTAACGTTGTGAATTCTTTTCGTAACAAAATAAATGATATACGCATTACTTTGGAATTGATCGGATAGAGTCGAACGTATAGTAGGTACACAGGTGTCAGGTATTCAATATACTATATATAGATGGGCGCCGAAGAGTTCATAACAATATCGTTTCATGTCTGATGAACCGGAAACTATCATTTACATTTACATAACGCGGGTGCTTTGAAGTTTCGAAGTCAATAAATTGGATAATTGCTATATAAACATTATCAAATATAATAAATTGTATAAACATATTTTATAATTCATCGATTGAAATATTCCACGTTAATAAATATAATAATTGATTACATACATTGTAATTCGTAATTATGTATTTACGAAATAAAATAAATAAATAAATAAAATATGTAGGTACCTACTAAAACTATAAAGTTTATGTTTTCTGCTAATCTACCTTTACATTTTTATAGGGTCGGACTGGATACTATGGGCCTCATCGGCAATTTAGTTATATAGGGCTTCAGCGAAAATCATAAATCATAATTAATAATTCACTTAAAAAAGATGATTAATTTATTTTACCAAAAATGATCAGAATTTAATAAACTATAAATATATAAATAAATAATTTACAATAATTACTTAAGACAATATATTTCTCTTTATTTATTGTTTTCTTTAGTTAAATTAATTTACAATTTATTCTTAAGTAATTTTTTAGAGATCGATTATTACTGAATAAAAAAGGCAAATTATCAAAATTATCAGTACCTAATATTAATAAATATAAAATTTTTTTTTTATTAATTTAAGGAAGAAGAAAATGAAGAAGGTGTTATTGAAGAGTATGTATACAATTAAAACGCGTTGTGTTTATTGTTAAAACAATAAAAAAAAAAATAACAATATCATTTTTATTTAATTTTAAATAAAATTTTTTATGTTACAAAGTTAATAAACAATGCAATTATCAAGATAAATTTAAGTCTAAAATAACAATTATTAATGGAACTATGAAGGCATTATCAATGGACTTGCAAGTAGGTACATCAAATGAAATGAAACAATTGCAATTTTAGACTTAAATACAATAATACAAATAATGTAATTTCTTCTACGACTTTAGGAGATAGATAACATGGTGTTTGGAACTAGAAAGAATGAACAAATTAAAATGAATACGAATATATATTTTTCAATAGTAGTTTAGGTATGTTAATACCTTAAGTTTTAAGTTAATTCATGTAAATACAAAAAAATGATTTAAACTTAATTGATTTATAATAAATATATATTAAATACCACACAAATACTATTGAATAAATGTTTCAACTTCATCATAAGTTTTTAAAAAATAAAAAATCCTATTTTTTTTCTCCATCAATATATATCATCAGCTTGAACATCTGTGTTAGAATTAGATTGCTGATTAGAATCAATAGTTCCTTCAAAAATTTAAACCACAAATAAAGTTAAAAATTATTATCTAAAATTTACATGTAATACAGATTATGGCAGAAAGACAAGTAGTCATTTAGTATAATAAATATATTATGTGTAATATTATTCTCATAAGTATAAAATATAACAAACATTAAAATTATAGTCATAGATTTCCTCAAATGAAATATTTTATAAATTTTAGTTCATTTAATACTACCTCAAGCCTCAACAGCATTTATATTTTATTTTTGTTTTTGTATACTGTAATATACGTTTTTGAATAGAGGTACTAAACATCCCCAATGAATATAGGGGGTAGATACTGATTAAAAATTTACATTTCTTTAATTCAGGTAAATAGTTACAAAATCTTTCTGCAAATTGAATTTTATTAACTTGATAAATGATATTATTTTAATAATTTTTACATTAATTTTAGTTTGAACACCATATGAGATAAAAATATTAATTAATCTACCTACTTTAAATAAATAGGTAAGTTTAACTTCTTGTTTTTTTATGAAACATATATATACAGAATCGTATTTCACAAATCGGGTTGATAATAAATTAATATTTTCAATAATACGTATTATTGTGTACTGATTGTAGTATTTCTCAAGTCAGTGAGATTTTAGGTTTACAGTTCTCAAAATAGATACCTCCAAAATCCCAATTGATACAATCATAGCATTATATTATTATTTTGAATTAACGTTGATAACACAAGGTCATAAAGGTCACAAAGGTCACAAGGTCCATCTATACTACTACTATAGTGTATTTATGTTTGATTTTTTTTATTTTATAAATGTACAGTTCATATATTTTATAACCTTTTCATTTTATAATTATGATTTTTCTGATCATTACATAGGGCCCAGGGGAGGATTGGGGATAGATTTTGGCCTGGAAAAATACAAAAGTACCGGTCCACATACTAATTTACTATATTATTAATATGCAATATAATTATATATTGAAATTTAATCACTATTTATAATTGTTATTTTAATATAACTACAAATATTTTTTGAACACGGGATATGCACAATGAAAAGTATACAATTTTTTTTTTTAAACAACATAAGTCTACATATTTACAATAGTCTAATCTAAATAGTCACATAATCTATCCAAATGTAAGGTCTTTACGTATCATAGGATACAAATACCAATTGATTTTAACTATAGAATTATCGAAACAAATATTTCGCGTGAATTGAATTTTATTATGAATCTTGGCTTTAAATTTATTCATTAATAAATTAATATTCAGCTAAAGATTCAGCTAAATTTAATGTCAAGCCGAAAAAAGTATAAGTAAATATGTAAATTCCCGAACCCTGGTTATAATCAATCAATGGTCGTAATAATACTACAAGATTCGACAACTATTCCGAAGTATATTGTTATCATTTATGTTCATGTGAAGAAATGCTTTGGACCCGCATTGGCCGGTACCTATTTATTGAGTTATTTAAAACATGGCATTTTATGAATGAAAAAAAAAAAAGTAAACCAAAACATAGGACATTATAAAACCGATAAAATCTAAAGGCACGATGATTAATTTCGTTGCGCTGACTGGGTAAAATGCATTCTATTATTAAATTTCGTTCACGTTCAGTTATTCTGTGTCCTTTTTGTCGTCTTTGACTTACACGCCGATTGATTTTAAGAAACTGATAAATGTACAGAGTATATACAGAATCTGGAGGAAACTAAAAGAAAAAAAGGTAGGTAAGGAAGGTAATTTGTGCGGTATATAATGGTCATATAACGGTATATTATGCCACATAATTTATATTAAACTGAAAAAAAAAAAAACTTTAATATTATCCTATTTAGATAATATTAACTTTTATTTCTTATTTAGTGGGAAATGCATACCATAATGTGTAATTTTATTTGTAATACTTACCTAATACTTTTTTTTATGCAGTCACAATAAAATAAATAAAAAATGTAAAGTTCTATCTACATTATTGTAATCAAATATTATTTTTACCTAGTTTTAGTATTTAATATGTGTACAAATGTGTCCTGTATTTCTAAGTATATTTTGTCAATGTGTCTTTTTATAAAATATAACTGTGGTTTGGCGCTAATGTCAAAAAAAAAAAAAGAAATAAATTGAAAAAAAATGTAGATACTCCCAAAAATTATTAACACTGTGTGTAATGCATGTTTTTGACATAAGCCCTTTTTGTACCAAGCCATAAATATATGTAATGTACAAATTGGTAATAATAATTGGTATTCCTTTTATATCAGGATGATTTGCAAAATGTTATATTTCTCTAAATTTGTTTTAATGCCCTGACCATCAATTTTACTTTGATTATTTAGACACACTAAATTCAATCTGTGTACCAAAATATATAGTATACAACTTAATTTAAAAAAAAAATGTTGCGTGAGTTGTACTAAATAACTAATTTATAAACCATATTTTAAAATAAATATTTTACCTATTATTTCTAATAAATATATTAAAACGATTTTCAAATATTTATCTAGATAAGAGAAAAGATAAAAATAGGTGGCTTCATGTAAGAAGGTCCAATGTTAACAAAAAAAAATTTAAAAAATGTATTATTAAAATTATGAACTTTACAGTTGACATTTGAAATATTTCTAAATAAATAATTTTTTCAACTTCCAAATTTTAATTTATTTTATATTTTAGGCGAAGCGAGGAATGTATTGATTTTATAATAACGCTTTTTATATTTAGCTGTAAACAATTTTTTACGGGTGGTTCTTTTTTGTAAAAAACCTGCAATTAAATTGGTTTAGCATACTTTACTCACAATACAAATTTTAATCTTATAGTTTTCGTACCAATGCCAGGAGCTTGTTTGAGCACACACTTCGATTAAGCGAAATTACGAGATTCAAAATTACTAAATATATTCATATCTAAATATATATAATTTATAGATGAGCACACCTGGACCGGGTCCATATTCAGTGTAAAATTTCTAAGGTAATGTTCATCTTTATTTTCTCTAAAAGGTTAATGTACACAATAGCTGTAATAGAAAATTGTAGTACCTAATCGAAATGGAACTATACTATGATTTACAATTAAAACATCAATATTAAATGTAGCTTTATGTACGATTTTACACATACTTTTTTAGAATTTTCGGTAGGTATAACAAAAATATTCGACGTTCGATTATGATATCCGATCAATAACAAATAAGATGTATGTAAACAAATACTGATATGTTATTAATATTAATGTTAAACAGCTGATTTTGAATGATAATATGTTTTCCAGTTTATTGTTCGTTGCATGTTTTATTATCATCCAGGGTTCCAGTGATTTGTTATTGTTATCATTTGTTTTATCTCGTATACAAAATATACTACAAGTTGTTGACTCACAGTGCACTACAAACATTCGATTATTTAAGCTAATCTTCGTATAACATATTATTTAAATCGCCTTATAAATTTTTGTAACAATGAATAATAATACTAGTTTGTATTTGTTGTTAGTTGTAACTTTTATTTTGACCATTAGATCTGGTAAATATTATATTATCTATACTAAAAATGTTTCAAGACGTATTTAATAATATTGATATATAGTTTAAACTTTAAAAGACGATGATTAATTCGTTAAAATTGTTTTGTTTAGCTTCGAGTATATCGTGTTACCAATGCAACAGTACTGATATAAAATATCAATTTCTATGTGGAGAGTTTATGGATACTCATGTCGATGAGTTATCAGCACAACCATGTTTGGAAAACAATGCAAATTATTGTATTAAATTGGTAGGTTACCATGAAGGTATGTATTATTATACACGTTTGAAATAATATGTTAGTTGAATTGATGTTATTTTAACGATTTTTTATAGGAAGATTTGGAGTGAGACGTTTTTGTTCTGTCCACAACCTAGATGATAGATGTGAATTTAGTAATATTATTTCTGGCGATGAAAGAGATTATAGAACGTGCGTTTATACTTGCAGTTCTGATGGCTGTAATGGTTCGTCACTAGTCAAGTCTTTCAGATATTTAACAGGAATATGTTTTTTGCCGTTGTTTAGACGGCTTTTACTCTAGACAATTAAATTACCAACATATTATACTCCAAATTATACTAAACATTTATTATCAGGCTTTTTATTGTTGTTGTAATTTGTTTTACATATGTTGTTAAATATTTTGGTTTTTAAAAACTATTTCGGGTTTTTGTATTATATTAAAATCAAATCCGTTTACTAATTATAATATAAGTTATAACATTTAGAACCTGAGAAATGCGTGCGTGTCTCGTATGATGTCGTTGACATTTATTATGGAAAATGTATGAGCGCCGCCGTTTTCGTTGGTATTTTCGGTCTTGGGACTGATCAATACTGCTCTTGCCGTTGTTTTGTCGATTTTCGACCGGTTCATGAAACGCATACTACCCTTTGCGTTTACCGTATGGCGATGGCCGTCCTCTGTGGTACCGGCGAACATCGTGATAAACGAATCCTTGATGTCAACTGTTTTCAAGACGAGAGATTTTTTCTTTGTCTTTCTTTTGAACACTGGGTGCACCTCCCGCTGCCGGTAAAACGCACAGTGACGCATTCGTCGTCGCCGTCTTTTCGCTTTATCCTTTTTTTCGGTGACCGCTTTTTCGAGTTTGGTGGTTTGCTGTGGCACCAGTACGCCGGTCGATTTAAAATAATCGAAACATGTGAGTACCACACACCGGCCGATTGTATACACTATAAAGGTTGGTATTAAGGAAAATATATTAAACCAAAAAAAAAAAAAAAAATACTAAATATTGTTCATTTTCGTTCATTTTCTTCGACAAAAATTAAAAAAACTTCCACTACAGTGTATTTAGTAGTTTAGTCAAGAGGGAAGTTGAAACAAATGCGAGGTACAGGGACTAATAAAATTAATTAATTTAAATCGTATGGTTAGGTACTTTTATGTATAAATTTGAATCAAAAATTAATCTAGTGATGTAATGATAGTAAAAGAACTTACTCAGAATATAATATTCCGCTATAAATTTTTATCATTTTTTGTTAACTTTAAAATAGAAGATGTTAATTGGTTTGTGTTGTTTCCTCTGAACATTTATAAGTAATAAGAAGTAGTACTTAGTGATTTTTAAGTTTCAACTAAATAGTATAAATGTTGACAAATGACAGTACTGATAAATATTTTCATAACAACGGGCAACAAGTGTATATCATATCATAATAATAAAAATTGATATCAACGACGGTAACTATACAAGATAGTACTAGACGACACATTGCACATTCACTAAAAAGTCACAATTGATATCATTAAAATAATCCTTGTAGATTATTTCCTTGCCCTTTTGTTATTATTTATAAGTGATTGTTATCTCCCGTATTTAAGGGGCTGTATATAAATTTTATATAATATGATACTAATTATCTCTAATAAAATTACAAATATCATCCTTATATTCTCTAAAAATTAGAAAAATATGTAACCTTAGGTAATATAAACCTATACGTTTATTTTTTTTTTTAGGTGCCTTATTAATATTAAAATTAGTAATAATAATAATTTAAAATTATAAAGTATAAAGTAGCATTTTTTTTCTCAAAATTTACAAAATATTTCAAAATAATATGCTCAATACTGCTGTTTACTAAATGTTCTATCACTGAAGTATACTTAAATATGAAAACAAAATTTTAAACTCTGATGTGCGAAATCTTCGAAATTCTTTACTCTCATAAGATTACATAGTGCATATACTTAGTCACTATTAACTTAATCAATTTTAATTTAGAGAAAGATCTCTCAGCCGAATCAACTTTTATGGGTATGGTTAAATAAATAAGGACTTAATACATAGTTGTTTGTCGTGCTATGATCACTTTTTAAAATAAATACGGCAAGATCTTTTATACTTTTAGATTCTGAGTAAAGCGAGAAATATATTGGTTTTACAATAATGTATTTTTTCTTACATATTATTTTGCTTTGTGGACAACTTTTCTACATGTATAACTGAATTTTGCACAGAATCGTTTTTCGTCAGCAAACATTAATCGTTGCATACTGATATACGAAAATTCAATACATTTTTCTACATATCTTACCCTCTCAACTTCTTACCTATAACAGTGGCCCACTTATGTTGCGAAGTACGTCCATCTTTTTTAATTCTGATATGTTTGCAAACGACTCTTTTATGGATAGTAATTGACATGTAAAGTCTGGACTGATATTATTACTGTACAACTGTAAAAAATAGGTAAATTTGGCTATTTATTCAACCTTTACTTGAAACTAATATAAATGGCTTTAATAAATGAAAATATTCATTAACTTTGAATTAAACTAATTTTTAAGTTTTCTTTTGTAATATTGAATCGGTAATCTCTATCGACTCCATTAAAATATTTATTTGAAAATCTTATTCGTTTTATCATTATATAATTCGTTAATATGTTTTAACTTTTAAATACGCTTTTATAGTATTTATTTATATTCACATCTTAATCGTGTTATAAAACTAGTGGCCTCTTTTAAATTTTTGCATGTATTAAATGGATTTGTACTTTTTTTGCATTGATTTTGATATACCGCAATGTAATGGTTTTAAAATATTTTCTCAAAGACACAACAAAAAAACAAATTCCATTTCTAGACATTGTTATCGTTAAAATAAGGTGTGATCATTTTTCTATTTTATAATTAGAGCAACGGAAATTTGTATTCACGTTCCATAAAAATATAGAAATTATTTATCGTGCCTCGTTTCTTCCCAATACTGTATGTATTTACCACTGTAACAACATAACTATACCATGTGTCATGTGTGTGTGTGTGTGTGTATATATAATTGTATGAATTACTTACTATAATATATAAGGTCTGATTCCGGCACAGATTCGGTCGGTAAATTTGCGGTCACTTTATTTTTTTTACCTCATTTCTTTTTTTTTACCCGATTTCTTTTTTTTTTTTCGATACATTACACGGACATCGGTGTTTGCATATATTTTCATATTTTAGATTCGGAGTGGAGCGAGAAATTCATTGATGTATGATATGTGGTTATATATATATATATATATATACAACTATGTATGTTTTGCTTTTAAGGTTATATTTTAAGCTCATATTTACAGGCAAATGATTGCCATAGTTAGAGTGAATTAAAACTTTCCATCTTTTATGTTATTTTTATATCGGTATAAAATTCGGTACGATAACTTTATTAATTCGATAGTAATTATTGTATTATTATTGTAGTTTGCGATTGCACGCAAATTGGATTTTTAAATGTAGGTATGTATCTTATTAGTGATAGACAAGACGTGCATACGTTAAATATTGTAAAATAAACTTTTGTTAATAATTTGAAAGTTAGTTTAATAATATTATACTATGTCCGAATTGCAAAACTATCAAACCTACTAAAATAAATCCTTTAGCTATTTATAATAGGTGTCAATATAGAAAGTATAGATAAAATGAAGATGTGATAGTTTGGGTTTGTCTAAACGGACAAAAAAGAGAAATGTAAAAGTCGTATGAAAACCAAAAATTTAGAAATAGTTAATTTTTCTGAACATTCATGTAAGCCTGACATATTGGTAACTGAAATTAAAAAACAATTACGTCAGTAAATATTAAATAAATATTTATTGTCAATCCTAAGCCTGTAAAAGTGTAAAGGTAGGTTTTATTTTAAATATATGCAAACACGGATGTTTGTGTGATGTATCATAAAAAGCGATAACAGGTAAAAAACAATCGAGTGACAGCAAGTGCCACCAAAAAGGTCATGACTGAAAAAATGCTGATACCTGAGTTCTTGGGGCCTCAAAAATTTCGGGTTAGGTGTGAATTGCAAATCCAATACTTCCGCAAATTGCGCCTCTGCTAGAATATAGAATTTATAGGTATATGGTATATTTTATTTTGGGAGAGTGATTATGAATTTCGCATTTTAGTATTGAGGAAAATGGACAGTGTAGAATAATGACATGGGTTCTTTATGTATATTGTTAGTATTATTATTATTATTATTTTTTTTTAAGAAAAATAGATGACTGAGGTATACAGTTTCTTTATTACCTTATGACTAGAGGCCTGCAACATCCAGAGGGAAATCTAATTTATCTCCCCCTTTTCCTGTTGCAGTTTATGCGTAAGTAGGTATACAATGATAACAGACAATGGTTTTATTTGCCAATTTATGCAGACGGTGTATATATTATTATTATAATTCATTAATTCATTCGATTAGACGTGATAAATGGTTACGGCGGCAGTGCACGGGAGCCTTAACAGAATAATATGTACTGTGTATTATAGCAATCAGTGTACCGAGTTAAATTTGTTAAATTTATGTATTTCGTGAATTAACATCAAGAAGTTGGTTTTGGAATGACGAACATTAAAAAAAAAAAATTAAAAAATCACTAGGTATAGATATACTGTTTCGTAGTAACATATTTAGAGAGGTTTTGGAGTTTAATCCTCCTTTCCCAACGAAATGTCTTAGAAATTTTATCGGAAATTGTATAACATATAAGATATTTGTGAAGAGAGTCACCCATTCGTCGTATTTCTCCCGAAAATGAATTTGTATTGTGTCTGTTATATTATATACCATATCAGCTATAGGTGTACTGATGGGCATTTACCCGGTAAATATTTGATTGGGAAATACGTAAATTGGGTGAATTTATTTTTAATATAAAAACCAATTTATGATTGTCACAATACTTCATTATGATTGTTTTTTGAATTTTCCATGGTTTTCCCAGATGGTTGAATTACCAGAGTTAATAAATAATATTTATACATTTCTTTGTTTATTTTGTCCATTAATTTTTAATTTCATACCACTTTATTTTAAGAGAAAAATATAGTAACATAAAACTGTAACTAAACGTTTATTCCAAAAAAAAAAAAAAAAATATAACTTGAAATTTAGATATAAATATATACTTATATATTACCAATAAAACTTTTTTATTAAAATCAGTCTTTCCTTCTTTGTTTATTAAAAAGTTATGTCTTATTTGAAATATGTTTAAAACGTTTAAACTTAAACATAGCAGTTAGGTAGTCTTTACTTTTATTGAGTTATCTGTCTCACAAAAAAAAAATCTAGATTCTACACTCCTTCTCCACATAACCAACAAAATTAAGAATAGCATAACAAAGTGAAAAAAAATAGGAAAGTTTACGGTGATAATGGTTTCAATATTTTTAATTTTGTTTTTTTAAAATTTTTTTAGTAATTAGGTTAAAATGTATAGCCAAGACTTGAAACTTTAACAGAATACTTTTACTATTTGACTTGTATAGAGGTGATAAAATATTCAAATCATTGTGATGATGTATTGAGCTATTTATATGCATTTGACATATTCACATTATAGGTGCTCAGTGGAGCAAGGAATGTATTAAATTATAATGATGTTTATTTTTTTCAATTTTTTTTTTTAAGTAAAACATTTTTCTAGCAGAAAACTTACTCCGATTATCATGTAATGTACTCTGTGAGTACTGATTTTAGAGAGGTTATTTTTTGAAATTCTCATTAATATTCAAGATAATGAGGAAAACCTGATTGTTTAGGTTAAAAAAGATTAAAAAAATTAAAAAAGCTGATATTGGGGACGGGTGTAGCCATTGTTGTAGGTGGGAAATTGGGAAGGTAGGATACATAAGGTTATTGCATTTATATTTGTAAGCAACGATAAAC